GAACTGGCATGTTAGATGTACCAGACAGAGTCAATCTTTGAGATGATGTTTGCAAATCAGTCTGAAATTTTGAAAGAAAGTGGTAGTGTAATGACTTAATCAATCTCCTTGAACTTGGTATTATGTTATTATATACTTCCACAAAGGTCCAGACTATCCACTATTGAAACATGTCAAGAAACAAACTCAAGGCAGTTGATTTAACTTTGCAGAGGCTCCAATTTTTCAGTTTCTGCAGAAAGACTGGTATAAGTCTGCATTTGAGACTGTAATTAAATTCTTATTTTCCTAAAAGATACAAATTATGCAGCATGGCCATTGCTTGTGCCCGAGATGATTTTCTCTGCATGTCTTGCAGGACATATAATTTCATACTACATTTTATTATGAATTTATTAGTTGTAGCAATTGAAAATTGACTTACAAAAGATCTATGTACAGTATTTACAATGCATTATAGTGGAAGCCAAACACTAGCTCTCGTAAGTGAACAGCAAGGCCGCCTTCACAAGACCCCATTTCACTCAACTCCTATACAAACTTTGTATTTTAACATTCTTGTAAGCGATCAGCTCCAGCAACAAATACTTTTTTGACGTCCAGTGAGTGAACGCTTACAAGAGCTTCCATAGTAGTTACAAGTAAATGTAGATTTATTTTATACAGACCTTGATAACAATATCTTTAACTGGCTGGTTACTGTCATTGTGTACACTAACATAACTTGAAAAAACTTCACCAAGGAAAATATTTCTGTGATGTGAAGAAAAACAAATAGTTAATAAAATAATAATATTATTAAACATCACCAATATTTTAATCTAACAAAGTTTAAAGTTCTGTGTAATATTACCTCCTTTTGTACAATTTGCTCTTGATTTTGCCACTAAGAACTTCTGTGTTTATTTGCTGGCAGCCAGATTGGCTGTCAATATTAGTTGATTAAAATAATAATGTACATGTATTGATAGGGAACAGATCTAGCCTATATTATTAATGATTGTTGTTCATAACCATTCATCAGTATGCATGCTTGCAATTTCACAATGGTCAAACTACAAATGACATGACATTAAGTCCCAAAGTAAGTATAATTATCTCAGTTCAACTTACCCGAATGTCTGTGGCAAAACAAATAATTCCCCTAAAGCAAAGGTACTGAGTCCTTTTACTGAAGTTATATCGGATAGATGAGCATCCTCAAATGTATCTCCTAAGAAAAACCATTTTACCAACTATTATACAGTGTATCATTATAATTTATAATAATATTTTATTATACTAGTTATTATGATTATGATTATTAGTATTTTATCATCATTATTATTAGCTAAATACACATGTATTACTTACTGTATATGTTGGGTTTGATAAAAAGCTGGTGAAAATTGATATAAACAAGAATAATACTGGAATGTGGTATAAATGCCAGCCAGATAGATATTCGATACGCTACAAAAATGGCCCTATGATGAAGAACCTTTCTAAGGTGTTGCAATAAAAAATAATAAAGTAGAGTCCAGGGTTATCACTAATGGCCAGGGGAATTTCTGCATGCAATAAAATTTACAGTTAGTGATGAAAAAGATGCTTGTCATGATAAAACAGGCTGCTGCATGGTTGTTCACAGGGTAAAGTGACACCTGTACTGGGAGGGGTATTTCGCTGACCACTGATACCGTAGGCAGAATGCCAAATGACTCTGAAGTTGGGCAATTAGGGTTAGGAAACTGAGTGAATCAAGTTTCAGGTTACTTTTCACTCCCAGAATAATGACCCTGATTCACTCAACCTTCTAACACTATTTACTAAACTGCAGAGTCATTTGGCATTCTGCATCTGATTCAGCATTTGACAAATGCAGAATACCGAATGACTCTTAAGTTTGGTGACTAGGGTGAGGAAGCTGAGTGAATAAAGTTTCAGGTCTGTTTTCTTAGTTTAATGACCCTAAAATAATGAAACCTGATTCACCTAGTTTTCTAATAAAAATTTTTTACAAGAAATGTGATTTACCTGGCAGATCTTGAGATTCATTTGTTACAGGGACACTGGTGTACAGTGATGGTCTAGTCAGTCTCATGACTACAAAGTATAATTTACAAATACTTTATTACAAGAAGTACTCTATTCAACAGTACCTATAAAATAAGCCCCACCCACTATTTGGCAGCAAATTACTGAAGTGCAGGTACACAAAATTTCCAGTAAATCACTGCTGAAGAGAATCACAATAATTAATTTTTATTGAGTAATCACTTCTGTTTACCTGCGAGGGTGGAAAGGGAGGGGGAGGGGGGTCATGAGCATCTTTTTAAAGATTTGGTTGTCCAGTGGAAGCTGAAGAGAATGGAAATAGTTTTAGTATGCTAAATGCGATTACTAATTTTCCGCTGCATTTCGAGAGATCCCTGGAGGAGATCCCACCAGAAAACTACAAAAAAGAAGCTATGAAGCTTGAACACCTTTTGCAGGCAAGAAAGAGTCCACCGAACATCACTAGGAGATGTGGATGATAAAACAGCAACAATCTGTACAAGGTATACGAACAAATACAAATAGAAATATACCTTTCAAAGTCAACGAATGTTCCCTTTCTCTGAGTCCAGCGTCCATTTTGTTTTGAAGCGAACGCCAAGACCAAGACCAGCGGCTTCCTCCCTAAAAATACGCGTTACTTTTGTGCGCGTGTACTGATATTCATCTCCGCTGTTCAATCAGTGTTTGGATCACAGGCTGATCACAGTCAACTCTACAGTTTCCAGCCGCTTGATACGTTTTTAATACATGGCTTCTGCGACACCTTTATTACCTAAAGCAAAGGCTCGACAGAATGTAAGTTTACTTAAATGCTCATTCGGTATATTATAATAGACATGAGTTACTTATTTTCCTTGTAAGTAATACGATATAGTTATTGTAGGTTAGAAATTATCCGTTGTCATACACCCCTCCCAAGGCAGGTTAGAATTTCCTTCGTTTTTTCTCGTTTCTTAGACCTAAATACTGTCAGTTATATATTGGTATTCGTAGGATTTATTTTTGGGAGGGAGCGTGGCCAAATGGTTAACGCGGTTTTATATGTTGTTACACGGTGTTACATGGTGTTAGATGTGTTACATTTGTTCCTAATTAAAGCCTCACAGTTATGCTAGAATTTTGATATATAGAATATGGCCTATAAAAATGGCTAGTATATTATATTAACCCATTCTCCCCTGAGCTTTAGGTTTTTTATTTATTTTTTGTCGCTTATTATTATTATTATTATTATTATTATTATTATTATTATTAATGAGCATTCTGTTGTGTCAGTTGTGATTATTTGCCAATTCTCCAAATAATTGTTGTCTCCAAGTAAAGGTATGTTGTCCATGTTTCAGGTGTTGGAATGTCGAGTTTGTGAAGATGTATTTAAACTTCAGGGTGACAAAGTTCCAAGGTTGTTACTGTGTGGACATACAGTATGTCATGACTGTCTGACACGCCTTCCTGTAAATGGGCGACTGCTTCATTGTCCCTTTGACAGACAGTCAACAGAATTGAGTGACTCGGGTGTTTGGGGACTTAAGAAAAACTTTGCTTTATTGGAACTTCTTGAACGTCTGCAAGTTCTGAATGAACCACTTACATCTCCTGACATTGATAGTGGGAGTGATACTGTGCAATGTGATGAGAATGAAGAACATACAGCAAGTATTTATTGTACAGTTTGTGAAACCAATTTGTGTCGTGATTGTGAAGAGGTAACCCATTCCACTAAAACCCTTGTAAAGCACAGGAGAATTCCAGTCTCAGAGCGACCCAAGGAGAAGCCCAAATGCACACAGCATTCTGCCCATGTGATTGAATTTACTTGCTTAGAGGAAGGATGTAGAGATAACTCCTTAATGTGTTTTGTGTGCCGTGACTATGGAAAGCATCAAGGACACAAACATACCCTCTTAGAAAATGAAGCGGAAAATATGCGTGCATCTGTGACTAACGTCATTCAGCATGTCAGGACGTTTACTGGTGAAGTAGATGGGTCAGCAGCCAAGCTTACTTCAGTTATTGAGGCAATTGAAGGTAGCTAAAATCTAATTTATTGTTCCAGAAAACATCCATACCCCGTCGGTGGAGGGTTTTGGTTTACCCCTGTCTGCTTCCCCACCCCCAGTTACTCTAATCAATAATAATATTGTTATTATAACAAGGCTGCTGCCCAAGAACATTTTTGGCAGATTTCTGGGAGCCTATTGATCGATAAACTTAAATAAGAAAGCAGACGCTAGAAACTTGATTTACACTTCTTGAAACTCGATTTGATTGAGTTTCGAATTTCCACAAAAGTTCTTGTTTGTTTACTTTTATCAGTGGAAATTTTTTGCCTATTGTCGACAAACAAAAGTTTTTTGTTTTCGTTTCAAAAGCACAAAATGAGCAGGGAATTCTGTTTTCATTCATTGGAAGTAGGCATAGAGGCTATTGCCATGAGAATCATAAGTTTTAGGCGACCATGCGGTCTCCGTCAGAGCCTCTGGCGATTGGGCACCCGTTAGGCAGCAGCCTTGTGTAACACCACATTCTTCCACTTAAAACTTCACAGACATTTGGTATTATAAAAATTTAAGTCTATTTGGCTTATTATTTATTACAGCAGTATTTAATTTTTTTAGAATTCAGTGTTTCTGTCTTCTGATTTGGTGCCGGTTGTCAACTTGTTAAAATTGCTTGTACTTTAGGTGTAGTTGCAATGCACGAGGGTGACCATGGTAATGTTATTGCTCNCTAAAATCTAATTTATTGTTCCAGAAAACATCCATACCCCGTCGGTGGAGGGTTTTGGTTTACCCCTGTCTGCTTCCCCACCCCCAGTTACTCTAATCAATAATAATATTGTTATTATAACAAGGCTGCTGCCCAAGAACATTTTTGGCAGATTTCTGGGAGCCTATTGATCGATAAACTTAAATAAGAAAGCAGACGCTAGAAACTTGATTTACACTTCTTGAAACTCGATTTGATTGAGTTTCGAATTTCCACAAAAGTTCTTGTTTGTTTACTTTTATCAGTGGAAATTTTTTGCCTATTGTCGACAAACAAAAGTTTTTTGTTTTCGTTTCAAAAGCACAAAATGAGCAGGGAATTCTGTTTTCATTCATTGGAAGTAGGCATAGAGGCTATTGCCATGAGAATCATAAGTTTTAGGCGACCATGCGGTCTCCGTCAGAGCCTCTGGCGATTGGGCACCCGTTAGGCAGCAGCCTTGTGTAACACCACATTCTTCCACTTAAAACTTCACAGACATTTGGTATTATAAAAATTTAAGTCTATTTGGCTTATTATTTATTACAGCAGTATTTAATTTTTTTAGAATTCAGTGTTTCTGTCTTCTGATTTGGTGCCGGTTGTCAACTTGTTAAAATTGCTTGTACTTTAGGTGTAGTTGCAATGCACGAGGGTGACCATGGTAATGTTATTGCTCAGCATCTGGACGGTACAGCTGAAGAGGCCAGACACAAGGTGCGGGCATATTTTGATGATCTACGCGAGACAGTCAACAGACAAGAAGAAGCTGGGCTTGCTGTGGTAAATAATTATGTTCGAGAAAAGTTGCTGTCCCTGCGTCAGCAACAGGAAGATATGGCTGTTCTTATGTCACAAGTTACATCTGTATGTGTGGAATGTGAGAGAGCATTAAAGAGGAGTGATGCTGAGGTAAGCTGGCATATTTGTAGAGTAGTGCTGCAACAGTATACTGATTCAGGGCCTCTTGACATGAGCCCGGTTACTGGGATGAATTTCGCCTTGGGTTTGTATGAGAAATTTCAACCCAGTTTTTGAGAGGAGAAAAGGTCAAAGATCCCGGGGACAAGTTCTGGTGCCAAATTCGAGAAACACAGCAATCATGGTGAAACACAAAAATTTTAACTTTCGTGCCTTTCATAGCTTCTGCAACTCTTAAAGCAGTATCACTGCAGTTAAATGGGATGCTTATGACGTGGAAATACAGCAAGCAAGGCAAGAAGATTGCATTCGGACCACCAGAATTTATCCTGCTTTCATCCAGGGTTACCAAACTGAAGTGTTCATATGGCAAAATTTCCAGCCTGCTTACCGAGCCAGCCTGCCCTCTCATATGAACACATCCTTACAAAGGATTTAGAGGTGAGGTGAGATCTCAGAAATCAGGCTAGCCTGGTCAACTGGGCTCAAAGAGGCCCTCAAGATGGTGGACAATATGCATGCCTACTTACCGTGGAATCCCTGTTTTTTGAGCCACCTTGCGAGAAGAAAATTGGTTCTAATTATCGGAAGGTTTGGCTTTACCTCGGTGTAAGAACGTCACAACTGCATGACAGAAATCGAATGCAAAATACTAGATACAACTGATGTAAACTACTAAATAAACATTAAGATTCTTGCTCTCAGGTTCCTATAGTTCTGTGGTTTTCATACTTCTTTGTTCTCATACTCCATGTGGTTGTAATAGTTCTTGTGGTTCTTATAGCTCACCTGGTTCTTGCGTAGTTTTTGTGGTTTTTGTGGTTTTTGTATAGTTCTTGTGGTTTTTCGTGGTTCTTGTGGTTCACCTGGTTTTGTGGTTCTTGAGGTTCTTGTATAGTTCTTGTGGTTCTCGTGTTTTTTTTTATTTTAGTTCTCCTGTGAGGAGCAAGTTTAAGCAGCTATACCAAATCCACTGGAAAGATCAACTCTATGGGATACGAAACAGCATGCTTCTTGAACTGCAAGAACCAAAGAACCACGAGAACTATGAGAACCACTTGGAATATGAGAAACACAAGACCCATGAGAACTATGAGAACCACAGAACTATGGAAGCCTGAGAACTAGAATCTTAATGTTTATTAATTTTAGTATTTTACGTCAGTTGTATTTAGTATTTTATATTTGATTTCTGTGACGTCAGTTGTGAGGTTCTCACACCGAGGTAAGGCCGCAGGTTTGAAAAATTGAGGGTAAAATAATTATTACAGTGTGTGACTGGTGAAAGTTTGGTTCAAATTATTGGGAATTTTGAAAACTGAAGGTTTGAGAAATCCAGATTGACCTGTATTTGTTACTTGTCAGCTGTACCAACTTATTGCCCAAGAAGCGAAATAAGTTCTTGTTACAGGTTTACAGTTGTTGGTAACTAGTCCTGTCATGCACAGTAATGTATCATATTGTTAATACATCATGGCCCCTCTATCATGATTGGTTTTATTCTCATTAATTCAGGTAATTTTAAAATAAATTAGCATGGCTGGCTAGCCTCGTGGTATAAGTGTGTTTGCAATTTCCTTTCTTTCTTTCTGGTTGATAGTGCTTCCTATCCACCAGAAAAATCACTTTCCATTAGATAAGTATTAGGAAAACTAATATTATTGTGCCATCCACTGGATGGAGATTTATCCATTGGGTAGCTCTATCCACCTTATGAACAACTGGTGGCCGAAGTACACTGTATATCCACTGTACATTAATATGTTGTTACCAAAAAATACTTTTAGGTGATAGAAGCCAGAAACAGTATTCACAGTCTCCTGGAAACAGTACAAGAGCAACAGGAGCAGTTTACTAACATAGCAAGCCTGTGTGATACTGATGCTGCCATCCCTGTGGCCTTTACAAAGGACAACAGAGTTCATATTGGTCCAAAAATGGAGATGCGGCTTGTTGTACTGGGACTTGATGGTGCTGGGAAAACTTCAATTTTGTTCAAAATGAAACAGGATGAATTTGTCTCACCAATCACAACCATTGGTAAATA